CACCAGAAACAAAATTGTAGACCTGCACCAGGCTGGGAAGACTGAATCTGCAATAGGTAAGCAGCTTGGTTTGAAGAAATCAACTGTGGGAGCAATTATTAGGAAATGGAAGACATACAAGACCACTGATAATCTCCCTCGATCTGGGGCTCCACGCAAGATCTCACCCCGTGGGGTCAAAATGATCACAAGAACGGTGAGCAAAAATCCCAGAACCACACGGGGGGACCTAGTGAATGACCTGCAGAGAGCTGGGACCAAAGTAACAAAGCCTACCATCAGTAACACACTACGCCGCCAGGGACTCAAATCCTGCAGTGCCAGACGTGGCCCCCTGCTTAAGCCAGTACATGTCCAGGCCCGTCTGAAGTTTGCTAGAGTGCATTTGGATGATCCAGAAGAGGATTGGGAGAATGTCATATGGTCAGATGAAACCAAAATATAACTTTTTGGTAAAAACTCAACTCGTCGTGTTTGGAGGACAAAGAATGCTGAGTTGCATCCAAAGAACACCATAACTACTGTGAAGCATGGGGGTGGAAACATCATGCTTTGGGGCAGTTTTTCTGCAAAGGGACCAGGACGACTGATCCGTGTAAAGGAAAGAATGAATGGGGCCATGTATCGTGAGATTTTGAGTGAAAACCTCCTTCCATCAGCAAGGGCATTGAAGATGAAACGTGGCTGGGTCTTTCAGCATGACAATGATCCCAAACACACCGCCCGGGCAACGAAGGAGTGGCTTCGTAAGAAGCATTTCAAGGTCCTGGAGTGGCCTAGCCAGTCTCCAGATCTCAACCCCATAGAAAATCTTTGGAGGGAGTTGAAAGTCTGTGTTGCCCAGCGACAGCCCCAAAACATCACTGCTCTAGAGGAGATCTGCATGGAGGAATGGGCCAAAATACCAGCAACAGTGTGTGAAAACCTTGTGAAGTCTTACAGAAAACGTTTGACCTGTGTCATTGCCAACAAAGGGTATATAACAAAGTATTGAGAAACTTTTATTATTGACCAAATACTTATTTTCCACCATAATTTGCAAATAAATTCATTAAAAATCCTACAATGTGATTTTCTGGAATTTTTTCCCTCATTTTGTCTGTCATAGTTGACGTGTACCTATGATGAAAATTACAGGCCTCTCTCATCTTTTTAAGTGGGAGAACTTGCACAATTGGTGGCTGACTAAATACTTTTTTCCCCCACTGTAGATGTGTTTCCATCACTTTTTCAATTCTACCAATGGTTTTGTCACAAAAACTGTTGCGTTATATAGTAAATGTGCCCTATCTGGTTTTGGCGCCTGCTCTCTAGAGCAGGGTTTCCCAAACTCGGTCCTGGGGCTCTCCCTGGGTGCACGTTTTGGTTTTTGCCCTAGCACTACACAGCTGATTCAAATAATCAAAGCTTGATGATGAGTTGGTTATTTGAATCAGCTGTGTAGTGCTAGGGCATAAACCAAAACGTGTACCCATGGGGGTCCCAGGACCGAGTTTGGTAAACCTTGCTCTAGACAACAGTTTTCTGACATAGTGGATAGGGTAGGTTATGGATAAGAGGAATATCATTTGTCTTTTTTATAGCCTAATTGACAGTCAAGCGTCGATCATCATGTCACCAAGATTCAAATAAAACCCTAGATATTTATTGGAAATTTGCATCAAGCTCATCACCGTCCATCACTTACCACCATTAAGTTCATAACTTATATTTGCCTATAAACTCTTAATGCTTTTCTACGTCGTAGTGGTAGTACAACGGAGCATATCATCGCGTGACTCCAAGTTTCCTTCTATATGATGGTTTATTATATCAGTATTTGCGCATTAAGGAATTTCCACTGCAATTGTCGCATAATTTATTTTACCAACACAAAAAAATTCCCACCATGTCGACATTTCTGAAATTGTACCCACTTTGTGTTTTCATCACCTGTCATGATTTATTTTCATACGGTATGACTTTACTAGCATGAAAACTGTGGATGGAAACATGCTTAAAGTGGGAAAAATGTATCTAATCACATTCACTGGGATGCTGCCACCTTCTAAGCACACAGATACGTGATGATCAAAACCAGAAAGTTACTGTTACTCTAGTGATTACAATATAAATATAATAATCTTGACTCTTTAAGATTTTGTGTTGTGAAATATCCTTACTTACAACATCTTACAACCAACATCTTACAACATTTCGAAATTGTACCTTGTGTATTCTACAATTCTAACTCCTGAAAACTCAACTTTTACTTTTTTTGTTGTCGTTGTTGGTCAGGTACCCCCTAGCAGCCGCGGGGCCTTAAGAGGTCGCTTATGTCGCTTAGTGGCTAGGGCCGACCCTGAACAAAACTTTCCAGAAAGAAATAATAATATAATAATATGCCATTTAGCAGACGCTTTTATCCAAAGCGACTTACAGTCATGCGTGCATACATTATTTTTTTTTGTGTATGGGTGGTCCCGGGGATCGAACCCACTACCTTGTAGTTACAAGCGCCGTGCTCTACCAGCTGAGCTACAGAGGACCAGAAAGTCCCCTACTGATACCAAAGATTTTTATTCGGTTGAGTAATCTTTTAAGATACCTGTAGAACCAATTGTTTCACTTATTCATACATTGTGAGACATTTTATTTAACCTTCGTGCTAATAATATTCTAACGACATCCATCTGTGTACTCTTGCTTAGTCACCCTCATCAGTTCCTGGTTACCCATTGAACCTCTCAAGCTTATCAGTGTTTTTTAATGCGAGCGTACTGTATATCATATTGTAAGTTGAGGGTCCGAGTACAGATGGATGGATTACTTTTCTGTAGGAGCAAAGCCTGGATGGAGACGGATAACTATTTGGTAATTAGTTACTAGGTAAACAATGAGGTAAACACAGTTATTTCCTAAATGACAGATTCACCACATATACTGTAAGCAATGTGGATAAAGGCCATAGGGAAGAGGTTATTTAAGTTTAACAAGATATAAACGCTCATAAAATAATCGTACAATATTATAAATTGAAAAAACATACATCTTAACATAGATAATTAGGCACTTCAATCATATCAAATGGGTGTGTTTGTTTTGTTGTTTCAGGTATGGCCTGGCGTACAGCTATGACCATGTGTGTTCCCTCAACAACTGGTACGTTGTGTTCTGTCTGTGAGAATTCCTACAGACCATTGTGATTGGTTATCTTAGCCAATTCTATGTTAATGAAATACATTGCTTTAATGTAACACAAGCATATTTATAAAGCAAAGTTGTTCAACACTAGTCGTGGAGATTGACAGGGTGTACAGTCTCTTCATTTTAGCCCAGCACCAACACACCTAATTAAATTAGTTGAATCAGGAGTGTTCCTGCTATTGGGTTGGAACAAAAGCCTGCACACCCTGTAGCCCTCCAAGACCAGGGATGAAGACCACCGTATAGTGTATACACACTATACATAAAAGGAAGGTCTGTAACCATGATTAGCTCCCCTCCTCTGTCTTCAGGGCCCCCGGGAACCTCTGCGGAAACAATACAACTATGGCATGTTGTGAAGTTCCCACCATAAGGTAACCATAGACCACTATACCAAGGCTGGGGTCAACTAACAGTATTTCATCTGTTCAGAAAGGGAAGAAGATAATTGAAATCCTAGTAAGAAAACAAAACAAATATCCTGAAAATACATTTTTTTAATCAGACTTTCTTTTTTAAGTTTGTTAATTGAAATGGAATTTAACATTTAATTAGAATTTGAACTTTAACTCTGTTCCATTCACATCAGAACACTTAGTCAGCTTTTTAACAGACATTCCTAGAATGTTCTCTGTCACTGGGGAATTCAAGTATTATTTTAAATAATAGGTTTCTTACACATGCTTTGGCCTTGTTTGTTGCAGCTCGAGTGGAACACACTTACCAGAAAACTCTTTGTTCACAGCCACCATCAATGCTGGTTCATTTCTGTGTAAGTTTATTTCCGTGACTGTACAGATTACACACCCCATACACAGGTCCAACTGGATCTCTATGCATTATGCAGATGTCTATACTGGCACAAAGATGAGAGTATGTGCGATTATGTGCTAATAATATAATATTGTAATGTGCATAGATGTTATTTTATCTCAAGGTCACCCTTAAAAACGGTTTGGTATGTCATATTTAGGGCCCTGTTTTTTGGATAATCATGTCACATGACCTGGATTTTAACCTTTATTTAAAGCTTTTTAATCAAACTGTCCCCTTTTCGCCCTCCCGAGTGGCGCAGCTGTCTAAGGCACTGCATCGCAGTGCTTGAGGCGTCACAACCGGCTGTGACCGGGAGTCCCATAGGGCGGCACACAATTGGCCCAGCGTCGTCCGGGTTAGGGGAGGGTTTTGCTGGGGGGGCTTTACTTGGCTCATTGCACTCTAGCGACTCCTTGTGGCGAGCCGGGCACCTGCAGGCTGACTTCGGTCGTCAGTTGAACGGTGTTCCTCCGACACATTGGTGCAGCTGGCTTCCGGGTTAAGGGGGCGGGTGTTAAGGTGTGCGGTTTGGCGGGTCATGTTTTGGAGGACGCATGACTCGACCTTCGCCTCTCCAGGGCCCGTTGGGGAGTTGCAGCGATGAGACAAGATCGTAATTGGATCGCGATTAGATGTTGGGGAGAAAAGGGGGGTAAAATACAACAACAACAAAAAATAATAATGTGTCCCCATCAATTGCTTACATTTTTTTTTTTTTGAATTTTCATTTCGGGAAAAGGCAAAAAATGAAGGTTAAAATCCTAGTCATATGACCTGATTAACCAAAGCACAGGGCCCTAGTCATATTTCATATCGAACATGTTGTTTGTCCTGTTCAGAAAACATCTACCAAAATAAAAGTTATTACGAGTTGATTGTTATTGTTGTCTAATTGAATAATAATCATATAATCACATTGTTTTAGATCAGACGTGATGTTGCTCCTATTGTATAAACATCTTATGCATTATAATAACCATTTTTATTCTCCTCCTTAGTTATGGTGTTCTGTATCTTCCACCATGCTCACATCTTGGAGAGGAACAGTGTCCACTCCATGCTCAGTAGATTCACCCTGGTGTTTGGTGGAGTGGCGGCCGTTGGGGCCTTTGTGGCTGGGAACTGCAATGTTAGTACTCCATGTATTACATACAGTAAATATTATATAATATATGCCATTTAGCAGACTCTTTTATCCAAAGTGACTTACAAGCGACTTAGGCCTGCGCGGCTGGCTACACTGTACACAACAATGCAGAGTTAAAAAAGAATAATAAAAAGACAAAGAGTAACACAAGAAGAATAAAATACACAAGAATGGAGCAATATACAGGGAGTACCAATACCAGATCAATGTGCAGAGGTACGAGGTATTTGAAGTAGATATGTACATGAAGGCAGGGTGAAGTGACTAGGCATATCAGGATAGATAATAATAAGAGTAAAATAAAGAAGCAGCAGCAAATTATGAGTGTAAAAGTGTGTGTGTGTTTGTGTTGTCAGTATGCGTGTGTGTGTGTCATTGGAGGCTGGTGGGAGGAGCTATAGGAGGAAGGCTCAATGTAATGGTTGGAATGGAATGAATTGAACGGAATCAAGCATGTGGTTTCCATATGTTTGATGTGTTTGATACCTTTCCATTCATTCCATTCCAGCCATTACAATGAGCCCGTCCTCCTATAGCTCCTTCCACCAGACTCCACTGGTGTGTGTATGTGTGTTTGTGTTGTGTGCATATGCATATGTAGTGTATGTGAATATGTGTGGGTTTTATCTGTGAGTGTAGTGTGTGAGTGTGTATGTACACCACCCCGTTCACGAAAATGGTTCACTCCTACAGACAGTGAGTCACGTGGCCGTGGCTTGCTCTATAGAGCAGGCAGACAGGCATTGAGGCATTGTTACAGTTCGATTGAACGTTGGAATGGGCAAAACAAGTGACCTAAGCGACTTTGAGCGTGGGATGATCGTCATTGCCAGGCTCGCCGGTTCCAGTATCTCAGAAACGGCCGGCCTTCTGGGCTTTTCACGCACGACAGTGTCTAACGCTTCGAACACACCGACTGCGTAATTGCGTTTTGGTACACCAGAAGTACATTCATTTCCAATGGAACGCTGCATTTGCCTTGCAGCATTGCGTTGCAGTGCGTTCTGTGTGGTGCATACGTTGGATTTATCGAACGTATGCGTCAAACTGTATGCATAGACGGCTTGACAGAAATGGTAGCAGAAGGCGAATGTTGAACTTTTGTTGCACACATATCTAGATGATGCTGCATACTATTTTGCGCAATGACGCAGTCGGTGTGTTCAAAGCGTAAGATTTACAAAGAATGGTGCGACAAACAAAAAAAATCCAGTCAGCGGCAGTCCTGTGGGCGAAAACAGCTCATTGATGAGAGTTCGAAGGAGAATGGCAAGAATCGCGCAAGCTAACAGGCGGGCCATAAACAGGCAAATAACGGCGCAGTACAACAGTGGTGTGCAGAACGGCATCTCGGAACGCACAACTCGTCAGTCCTTGTCACAGATGGGCTATTGCAGCAGACGACCACACCATATTCTACTCCTATTAGCTAAAATCAAGAAGAAGTGGCTCCAGTGGGTACACCGACACTGGACAATTGAGGAGTGGAAAAACATTGCCTGGTCCGACGAATCCCAGTTCCTGATGCGTCATGCTGATGGCAGAGTCAGGATTTGGCTTAAGCAGCATGAGTCCATGGCCCCATCCTGCCTGGTGTCAACGGTACAGGCTGGTGGCGGTGGTGTAAGGGTGTGGGGAATGTTTTCCTGGCAACCGTTAGGTCCCTTGATAACAATTGAGTAACTTTTCCATGCCCGAAGAATTCAGGCTGTTCTGGAGGCACATTTTATGAACTATTTAGCAGTCTTATGGCTTGGGGGTAGAAGCTGTCTCGGAGCCTGTTGTTCCGAGAGCCAATGCTCCGGTACCGTTTGCCGGACGGTAGCAGAGTGAACAGTCTATGGCTTGGGTGGCTGGAGTCTTTAGCAATTTATCGGTCCATCATCTGACACCGCCTGATACAGTATAGAGGTCCTGGATGGCAGGGAGCTCGGCCCCAGTGATGTACTAGGCTGTCCGCACCACCATACCAAGCGGTGATGCAGCCAGTCAATCGACCCTTTGGTCGCGTTCCCCTGCTCAGACGTTGCATGCATCAACCAATGGTTGTGTGCCATGTCATCGACTGGCAGATGAAGGGGATTCGATTAATCTGGCTTGGGCACCCGGGTAGGCATGTTTTGCACTGGGTGAAAGTTGATTGCATTCATTTTGGAACCAGGTGTAATGTCTTTGATCTCATGAGCTGCATGGGATTGGGAGGATGAGGACATGCCATGTAATTATTTCTGTCACTGGTGGGTGACAGAAGGTCTGCGTGCCAAGATAGCTTGGGGGCCACTTGTGTTAATCTTAGAATGAGTACGTGATGGAATATCCTTATTAGGGTGCGAGCTGACTGGGTTGCAAGATGATACTATTGTTGTTGGGAGTGACACTCAATAATGGTTGGCAACTGTTGGATGGAGTTACCTTGCAAAACCGTATATAAACTGAGAGATTTTGTATGCCTATAATTCGGATGACAATAGGCTACGCCCGTACCGCTTGTCATGCGAATCCGGTACTGTAATATTAAATAACTCTGAACCAACTCTCCATCTAAGTGTTTAACTATTCTGTTACATCCTGAAGTACTCGATACCAGAGAAACTCGTCATAACAATTACAGACAGAAATATACCTCAGCACCCCCTCAGACGATCCCGCAGGTGAAGAAGCCGGATGTGGAGGTCCTGGGCTGGCATGGTTACATGTGATCTGCGGTTGTGAGGCCGGTTGGACGTACTGCCAAATTCTTTAAAACGACGTTGAAGGCGGCTTAAGGTAGAGAAATCAACATTCAATTATCTGGCAACAGCTCTGGTGGACATTCCTGCAGTCAGCATGCTAATCATACGCTCCCTCATAACTTGAGACATCTGTGGTATTGTGTTGTGTGACAAAACTGCACATTGTCCCCAGCACAAGGTGCACCTGTGTAATGATAATGCTGTTTAATCAGCTTCTTGATATGCCACACCTGTCAGTTGCTATTTTGATACGTGAGGCTTATTTGATCTAATAGAAGTTTTAAAATGCTTAGGTTGTTATGAGTGTACTGATATAAGTGTGATACAGGTGACATCCCAGCAATTTTGAGAAAAAACACTTATCGGAGTTTTCCCTGTTGAAATTCGAGACGTCTATGCATATTCATGAGGCTAGCATACCTCATGAATATTGAATACAGGCGGTTGACGTCAACACCCCTCATCGAATATTCCAAAAAGTATTAAAATAACGAGATGTATCCATCAATCCAAAGAGAGGAATAGGCAGGAGCTTGACAGCCCACCCATTGTTAGGGCGGAGACACAAGCATCTCGTCATTATATCCAGTATCTCTGTTCAGAACCGGTCCAATTCCCACATAACTCCCCAAATTTGGTTGAAAATATCTCTTGAGTTTCGGTTAATGAAATCTTGAATTATAAACAAAGAGAGGACTGGCAACAAAGCAAACAAACTATCAATGACAGGATTGGTAGGTCTGTTACTGTGTGCAGACATACTTACAAATGGCAGAACATCAGTGGAAAAGAACAATGGGAAAATAGACATGTCAATGTGTACCATTTTGACGTTATTTCATAGATGTAGACAGATAATTAACCTAAAAGTTTGTCAGATGTTTTCTTCAGAAGAAGATCATGCAGTCTCTTGTCTTTTGTCAGCTAAAGAAGAGACCCTCTTCTTTAGCCGAGGTACCTTGTAACAGGTATTTTCTCTGGCTCAGACTGTACTCTTTTCCTCTAACAGAAGTTCCCAGAATGTTCGCTGTCATTCAAACATGTCCAACTCAGGCACATAATTCCAGTGATCTCTACTCTCCTCCTTTAACAGAGGTTCCTAGAATGTTCTCTGTCACCCAATCATATCCATCATTGAGGAAATCGAGTATTGTGTGACATAAGGTCTCTTACAAGTGCTTTGGCTTTGTCGTTTGCAGCCAGAATATCTAAATGGAACCTTGTCTTAAGCCTCTCCTCTAGCTAAGGTACCTGATACTAACTGTAACCTGTCCTCTCTCCTCCAGCCCGCATACCTGATGCTGGCCCATTACCTGGGGGCTGCGGTGAGCTTCCTGTGTATCTGTTTCTACAGCCTGCTCCTCACGGTGCTCACAGGGAAGTGTGTACTGACCCGGATGGAGTGGTTCCTCTACCCAGCACGAGTCATGTCTACTGTGGTCCAGATCATCGTCACCATTGGCTGTATCCTTTCACCTGCACTGATGAACACTATAAGCCTAACCCCTGAACCCTGATCTTATAACCCCTGAACCTGTTAAACTCTGCTGGGTGTGCATACACAATGCAAGAAAGAATATACAAGAATAGGAGTGTCCTCTTCCATACGTCTTCAACTTTGCAAACACTCACAGGTCCTGAAAGGCACAGTATGTTCTAGGTAGTAGTGGTATTTGATAACAACTAGATACCGTCCAGAACATTGACAGTGAGGTTGCCTCTCTGTGTGTTTTGTCTGTTTACTGATGATTATGTTCAAACTTCTTCGACGTCCGTGTTCCTTTGAACATATGTGTAGGGTTACTATAAACATAAACTCAATTGTCACCCAACAACTACTGTTCACTCTCCTTGATCTCTGACCCCGCCAGACGCCATCTTGTTTGTACAGGAGGAATACAAGTACAAGCACCTAGCGGCCGTGTTTGAGTGGATACTGAGCGCCAACTTGGAGCTGTTTGAGCTCAGCTTTGCTGTGGAGTTCTGTTTCTTCTCCTCCTCCATGTTGTCCACATTGCTGGGGAAGAAAGATGAGGAGAAGCCTATCCTTCTGGCCTGAGAAGATGCTGCTGGGCTGGGCTGGGGGGAGACCTACTGTAAGAGACACTTGGGTCGTGTTCATTAGGCATGAAATGGAAGAAAACGGTCAGAAACGGAGAGAGACCAGCAGCATCTTCTCTTCTCAGGCCAGAAGGATAGGCTTCTCCTCATCTTTCTTCCCCAGCAGCATCGACAAAAAATTGTCACGTTGTGCCCTAATGAAACAACCCAGTAGTTCTGACCGATCTAAAGCTTGTGGAATTGGACCAACCAAGTAAAGGGAACAATTGTTTGTAACCAGGACCGGTTCTGGCTGCGACCAAAAACGACTCAGCTTAATCGTCCACGACCCACCGTTTGGGAAACACTGACCTAGTGGCATCAAAGATGGGGATGATATATACAGTTTGAAGTCAGAAGTTTACATACACTTAGGTTGGAGTCATTTCAACCACTCCACAAATGTCTTGTTAACAAACTATAGTTTTGGCAAGTCGGTTAGGACATCTACTTTGTGCATGACACAAGTCATTTTTCCAACAATTGTTTACAGACAGATTATTTCACTTATAATTCACTGTATCACAATTCCAGTGGGTCAGAAGTTTACATACACTAAATTCACTGTGCCTTTAAACAGCTTGGAAAATTCCAGAAAATGTCACGGCTTTAGAAGCTTCTGATATGCTAATCATTTGAGTCAATTGGAGGTGTACATGTGGATGTATTTCAAGGCCTACCTTCAAACTCAGTGCCTCTTTGCTTGACGTCATTGAAAAATCAAAAGAAATCAGCCAAGACCTCAGAAAAAAAATTTGTAGACCTCCACAAGTATGTTTCATCCTTGGGAGCAATTTCCAAACGCCTGAAGGTACCACGTTCATCTGTACAAACAATAATACGCAAGTATAAACACCATGGGACCACGCAGCCATCATACCGCTCAGGAAGGAGATGAACGTACTTTGGTGCAAAAAGTGCAAATCAATCCCAGAACAACAGCAAAGGACTTTGTGAAGATGCTGGAGGAAACAGGTACAAAAGTATCTATATCCACAGTAAAATGAGTCCTATATCGACATAACCTGACAGGCCACTCAGCAAGGAAGAAGCCACTGCTCCAAAACCGCCATAAAAAAGCCCAACTACGGTTTGCAACTGCACATGAGGACAAAGATCGTACTTTTTGGAGAAATGTGCTCTGGTCTGATGAAACAAAATAGAACGTTTGGCCATAATGACCATCGTTATGTTTGGAGGAAAAAGGGGGTGGCTTGCAAGCCGATGAACACCATCCCAACCGTGAAGCACGGGGTTGGCAGCATCATGCTGTGGGGGTGCTTTGCTGCAGGAGGGACTGGTGCACTTCACAAAATAGATGGCATCATGAGGAAGGAAAATTATGTGGATATATTGAGGCAACATCACAAGACATCAGTCAGGAAGTTAAAGCTTGGTCGCAAATGGGTCTTCCAAATGGACAATGACCCCAAGCATACTTCCAAAGTTGTGGCAAAATGGCTTAAGGACAACAAAGTCAAGGTATTGGAGTGGCCATCACAAAGCCCTGACCTCAAGCCTATAGAAAATGTGTGGGCAGAACTGAAAAAACGTGTGCGAGCAATGAGGCTTACAAACCTGACTCAGTTACACCAGCTCTGTCAAGAGGAATGGGCCAAAATTCACCCAACTTAATGCGGGAAGCTTGTGGAAGGCTACCCGAAACGTTTGACCCAAGTTAAACAATTTAAAAGCAATGCTACCAAATACTAATTGAGTGTATGTAAACTTCTGACTCACTGGGTATGTGATGAAATAAATAAAAGCTGAAAAGAATCACTCTCTCTCCTATTATTCTGACATTTCACATTCTTAAAATAAAGTGGTGATCCTAACTGACCTAAGACAGGGGATTTTTACTAGTATTAAATGTCAGGAATTGTGAAAAACTGAGTTTAAATGTATTTGGCTAAGGTGTATGTAAACTTCCGACTTCAACTGTAACCTTTGATCTCGCTCTCGGACTAAATCTTATTATTGAGGATGATTTTTAATTTTTTTAAATCAGGGCTGAAATCATTGTTCTTATGCAGCCCCTAAAGACAAACAGAAAGATGAGTTATTCGGGTCCCAACAAATCGATGCACTTCGTGTTGAAGTATTTTTGAAAACGTTGGAAAAGGAAAACTGTCGATCCTACAACTTTCATAGCCACTGATGGACCAATACCAGGACACCTTAGCATTTGAGTAGTAGTCACTGTAAGCACTAAAGTCACTATTTCTAATCCCATGTTCTGAATTGATCAAGGTGACATTTCCTATTTGATAGGCCATGGAGAATTGTGAATGATGTTGTTAGTTATTTTTTCAACATGTTGTCTATATGTCTAAAACGTGAAGTCTTGGGGGCATTACTCTGCCATTTAAGTATATCAGGCAACAACAACAGAAAAAAGTTTTAATATACATTGTTGTATAAAAATGTAATTGTCTGCAGAGTAAAGTAGTGAGGTGTAAGGCCAGTAATCTCTCGACCGCTTTAACATTAAAATTATGATCAAGTAGCTGATTTGGTTCTGGGTGTGGAGATTAGAAGCCAGTGATGATTCTAAACCTTTGTGATAAAACAGGTAATGTAATGTGAAGGAGGCAGGCAATTCAGGCAGGTGTGGTAATTAAGATGTATTAATAGAGTCCTCTGTGTTTGTGATAGATCATTCTGGAAAGCTTTTTGATGGCAGAACATTTGGTTGTACAGGCTTTACTGCATACCTGTCAGATGAGAGAAGAACCAGAACATAAGCAATCATTCATCCAGAAACAATGTAACTGAAAATCCCATGCCATTTTTTTATGAACAGAACACATTTCTTAGCAAGGCATAACACTTTGTAATTTTGCCTTTTTCCTTACTTATGTATCAGTCTCATTTGCTACTGCTTTTCTAGTCTTCCTATTCAGGGATTTGTGCAATGATGATTGACTTGTTTACAACAACAATATGTCATAGACTATATGGTTACATCTTAACAAAGTGGTACATAAAAATATATGTTTTAAAGATAAACAGTGACAAACTGATGTTTACTAAGACTAGAAATACACAAAAGCATTTAGCCTAATTCAGTATGAAAATATCGACTTGGAAGGTTTCCTTAAAAGGCTCTTATTTTTTTGGGCCATTTCTTTTGCCAAGCATAATTGAATAATAAAACGTGTGTAAGATCAAATCTAGTCTGAAATCTTGGCATTGTTGTATTTGTGATTCCTCTGCGGGACTGTTCAACCTCATGGTTTCCACATCAACACACCTCACTTTAGGGTCTGTCCTGATACTGTATATGGAATATTACAAGGCAGAGGAGTTTGTTGTGTCCACAAAAACATCCCCCTTGCCTCACTCATAAGTGGGAAGATGTGGAAACAAGTACTGCTGTCTCTTCATGCTTGCTCAATTGTCTGAGGAAATGTACAAACACAATGAATGTCAAAAACATGCATACCTCTGGAACACAAGTATTAAGTGTTCTTAGAACACAGGCCTGACTCATATCACTGGTGTTCGGTACAGTAGGTGTTGTCCCATCATTATATAATTACTATGGCATTATGGGGTGTTGACAGTTATTGGCTCCCAGGTGGTATTTGCCTGGGGACAGGTGTGTACTGTAGGTGAACAGGTAACTCAGGTGGAGTTTGAACCGGAGATGTTTGGGAAACCTCGTCATTGTGTTGTTGACTCTCGCTGTGGACTGATAGCTGTCTGAATGTCAGGGGCTTGGAAGAATTAAGGACTTTTGGGTGTGTGCACTGACTGAGGATGACTTGGGAATGTACAGAACAAGAAGTACTTGAAGTTGATTAGCTTACTTTATGTACAAAGGGTGCATAATTATAAAAAAATATATAAATATGTTTTTATTGTCACATACACCGGATGGGTGCAGTGAAATGTGTTGTTTTACAGGGTCAGCCATAGTAGTACGGCGCCCCTAGGGCAAATTAGGGTTAAGTGCCTTGCTCAAGGGCACATTGGCCGATTTTTCACGTTATCGGCTCGGGTATTCCAACCAGCGACGAACACTCCAACCGCTAGGCTACCTGCTCTGCCGCCTTCTACATACACATTTTAGTACATATTCTGATTGGTGTACAGTATGTAGACCATGTTGGTGTGGTTCCTGAGTCTTCTACAGGCAATTAAGATTTTGACCATCTGAAATACACCCTTTTGCTTACTACTGAATTCTAAATTAACACCTAGTACCTAGGCACTTGTTTAGATGATACACGTCTGGATAGGTAAGCAATATGCCACAAAAAAAGCTGCCCAGCGAATCAGAGGGCAAGGTGGAGCTACTATTTTATATCCAATCCTTTGAGATCTACAGTCGTGGTCAAAAGTTTTGAGAATGACACAAATACAAATTTTCACAAAGTCTGCTACCTCAGTTTTGATGATGGCAATTTGCATATACTCCAGAATGTCATGAAGAGTGATCAGATGAATTGCAATTAATTGCAAAGTCCCACTGTGCCAAAAACATTTCCACTGCATTTTAGCCCTGCCACAAAAGGACCAGCTGCCATCATGTCAGTGATTCTCTCGTTAACACAGGTGAGAGTGTTGATGAGGACTGGAGATCACGCTGTCATGCTGATTGAGTTAGAATAACAGACTGGAAGCTTTAAAAGGATGGTGGTGCTTTAAATCATTGTTCTTCCTCTGTTAACCATGGTTACCTGCAAGGAAACATGTGCCGCATCATTGCTTTGCACAAAAAGGGCTTCACAGGCAAGGATATTGCTGCTAGTAAGATTGCACCTAAATCAATCATTTATCGGATCATCAAGGAACTTCAAGGAGAGAGGTTCAATTGTTATGAAGAAGGCGTCAGGGCGCCCAGAAAGAAAGTCCAGCAAGTGCCAGGGACCGTCCCCTAAAGTTGATTCAGACGGCGCGGGATCGGGGCCCCACCAGTGCAGATGCTTGCTCAGGGAATGTAGCAGTGCT